ATTTGAGTTGCTCATAGAATCACAGATTCATTCAGAGATCTATCTATCTGCCATCGACTAGCTCAGTCTGTCACATAAAATTTGCTTGGAAGCAAACTCACAAAATTAACTCACAACTTTTACTCAAAATCAGCCAAAGCAGGCAGGCAGATTGAGTTGCTCACAGAATCATTCTGTGATCTATCTATCTGCCATCGGCTAGCTCAGTCTCAATTTTTCTTGCCGTCAGTCTGTACTGAATAATAGAACCTTCAGTCCTAAGGGAGGTTGGCTGTGCTTAAAAGCAGAGCCAAAGATCTAAAGATCTTGTTAGAAGGCAAGAAATCCAACCATTTCCTGGTTTCTAACTGATCTAAATCTCCCAGCACAGCAGAACACCTGATGGTCAGAAAAAGGAAAAATAGCAATTTAGCAGGTAAGTTTGCTGGGTAAGGAATGAGTGGGCGGGGAGGGTTTCCGCGGGCCATGTGGGTGGTGCAGCCTTGTGTTTCTGCGCAGCCTGGATTAATTACTTAAGTGCTCTGGGGGTGAGATTTCTCTGTGGCCCACCAAAATTTTCACCCGTTGGCGACCACTGGTTTAGATACAGTGTACATATTTTGTGTGTGTGAATATTAAGTACATAGTATACTAAAACTTTCATGACCTTTAAGTGTCCAAAATAGTGCATTATAAGGCAGCAATATTTGAATTACCTCAAATGCAGAATGTGTCCAAAATCCAGGACCCACAACTCCCAAAGGAATGAAATTCAGGGAAGTTGTGGGTGCTTCATGCTATTGGCTACTGTTGGAGGTCACATGTCTTTCATTTTCAACTTTCCATGACAATTTCCAAGCCAGTTTTGCAATCTCTTGCTCCCTCTCCCACCCAACGTGCCTGCTGGAAAGGAAAGGGAAAGAAGGGCCAAATAAAGAGGAAGGAATCCCCAGCACACTTTCCTTGATCTTCACTGTCCCCTCCTCACCCTCCCTGATTCATACAACATCTTTTGTGCTTGCCTGCACACCCTGATCCATGTTGTGCTCCCATGTACTGACTCGAATGGCATCTCTTAGGCATCCCCATGCAACCTTCCCACCCCCATGATTCTTCCCCGGCCTGCATTACCTTTCTGATGCACTCCAGGCACTCTTCCTGACCCATGCAGCCCCTTTAGCACTTGCACTGCCCCAAATGCTGTCTCTTAACATTTACGGCACCTCTTGCAGAATCCCAAGCATCCCCAGGCAACCTTCCTAACCCATGCCATCCCCTGTTGTAGCATTTCCAACCGGTGCAACACCACACACACACCTCTGTCCGCCATGCATTTTTCTTGACCACTACTGCCTCCTGTGTGCCGTATTTGATTTGACTCCCACATATCCTTTGAGAGTCCAGCAGCCTGAAAAAATAAAATATGCACAAAAACAACAAATTGCAATTTTGTACTAAGTAATTTAGTTCTGTACCAAAACATATTAAATGTTTGCATATGTGTGCATCACATGTTGTTTCATTTGCATACTTCACTTTGGTCCTGTTAATTAGGCAGGGTTATGGAGGATGGTAAAATCTTGCCCAACTTAGTACATGATGCAACTAAGCTGATTTAGGTCAAGTATCATTACGCAACATGTTACTCTTCACACAGCAATGTTTTCTTGAGATTATATTAAATGTGAAATACTGGGTGCATTTCTGTTTACAGAAGGCCAGTATCCAGGCCTGAGAACAATAACCGCTTTTGCTTTGCAGGAAGTGAAAGAAATGAAGAAAGAAGCTCCTTTATTACCATTTATGCAGAAACACGTCAGGTGTTTGAAAGGTCATCTAATGGCAACAAGAGATAATAAAATTATAGACCTTGGAGGTTTTCTAGGCCATCCCCCAACCTAAGGCAAGAGTCCTTATACTATTCTGGAAAAATGGATATTCAATCTTTTCTTGAAAGTTTCCAGCAATGAAGCAAGCACAATTCTGGGAGGCAAGTTGTTCCATTGATTAATTGTTCTCACTGTCAGGAACTCTCTTATGAGCTTCCAACTGTTACTTCCTGTCCTGCCATCTGGTGCTTTGGAGAATAAGTGAACCCCCTCATCTCTGTAACAGCCCCTCAAGTACCGGAAGACCGCTATCATGTCACCCTAATCCTCTTCATTAGACTAAACATACTGAGTTCCCTTCCAGGGGTGTCAAACTGGTGGCCTGCAGGCAGGAGGCGTCACAAGCAGGCTGCACCCACCCCAGCTCCATGAAGGGGGGAAACGTGATATCTCACTCATGCAGTATAGAGTAGTACTAATACTTGTCATGACCTTGATGCTATGCAGCCTAGGACTAGATTGGCTTCTTTTGGCAGCTGCAGCACACAGCTGGCTCATGCATAAATGATGAGCCATTAGGACACCTAGATCCTTCTGAAAGTTACTATTGTTGAGCCACGTACTGCCTATATAATCTCTGCAATCAAAAACAGCTCTTTGAGGATTCATTGAACAAGATTTATATAAAATGACCTGGCTGCTATTCTAAACACTGCTGGAAAACACTGGACTCTAGCCAATTGATGGTTTATACCTGATCTACCAGCAGCTGAAATGAATGTGCTTCATTCTTCTCCCATGTGATTACTAGTTATATACTTTTCCTTCCTGAAAGAAGTCCACTGCAATTGATTTTAGTTGCAAGAAAGGAATCTGGCTCTTGGTATTGATTATAGGAGTTTTCACCAATTTCTTCTTTAGAGATTTAGCTTAATCTCAGAACAACTATGTAGAACAAACTTTTGATGGTGCTTATTAAAAAATGCTACTCTTGGATATGTCCTATTTAAAAACAAAAGCAAAATAGCATCTACCACCATGTGACTGAAGTCTTTCTTCTTTCTTGTATATTCAGTGCATTACTCCAATCTTTCTGGACATGTAATTTGGTAGACTGTGTATTACCTATCATTCTGAGTTTACAGTTCATTCTGGGGACAAACCCAGAAATTGCTTGGGGTAAGGACAAAGCCAAAGAAACATGTTCCATAGTACAATACAACAGGTAAGTGATGTAGCATGACTATTGTTTACATTTTCCAGAACAGATAAAAACTTACATGAAAAATGATTCATTTACTATATTTAGGAGCTGTATTGTGGTTAGAAGCTGTTATTGTGAAACACCAGAACATGTGAACACAATTATCATTCGAGGAAATTTTACAAGAAAAAAATCCCTTAATGGATAATAGGCTTAGCCCTATTTGAGCACCATACACAGATTTTCCCTGACAGATTGTTTCATTATCAAAATATTATTTCAGATATAGTAAATGTTGATTATCCACGTATTTCTCTATTATCCTCATCAGTATTTTGAACTCCCAAGGTAAAAGACTATTACATATTTTTTCCCCTCCTCTTCTTTTTCTTGCTGGTTTTGTTTCTAAATTTTTTGTTTTGTTTTAAGTTTATGTCTGCATATTCTATGAAAATATTGTTTCTGCTAAGATCTTCAAAGTAATACCTTTCATCTTGTTTCTTTGTATATATTAAATGTTTGCAGCCCATGTTGTTTCGAAGCAACACTATTCATAGATATTTTCTGCTTAGAATCACAGAATCAGAGGGTTGGAAGGGAATATAAATGTAACATCAAATCTAGGATAGGAATTCTTAGACTATCTTGTTCAAACTTCTTGTTCAACAGTTTGAAAACAAGAAAATTCCTCATTCTGAGTTTGAATCTCTGTGTAAAACTTCCACTTATTATTCTTATCTCACCCTTGACCTCTACAGAAAATAAATCCACACCGTCTTCCCTGTCACCACCTTTAAAATACTGGAAGACTGTTATCATTCTTCCTTTAGCCTTCCCTTTAGGCTTTACATACCAAGTTCCTTTAACTTTTCTTCTTCATAGGATTTCACCTCCAAGCCCCACATCAACTTGTTTCTTTTACTTTTATTTTTTATTTTTCTTATATGTATCCATGTATTCATAACTATGTTTTTACTTATACCTATTATTTTGTAAGCAATTGACAAAAATAAATAAATAAATAAATTTTATTTTTCTTCTCTGTAATCTTTCCACTTCTTCAGCATCCTTCTTTTATATTGTGATATCCAAAACTGAATACAGGATTCTAAGTGGAGATGCAAACTGACCAGTGTAATGTAGAGTAAAACTATCACTTCCTGTCATCTCCATGTTAGCTCTCTTTGATGTAATCTAAGTCTGCATTGGCTGTTTTGGCACCTGTAGCATACTGTTGGCTCATGCTTAATTTGTGGCCTATCAGGACTCTCAGATATTTCTCAAAAGTACTATCAACTTAGGTATAAAACCTTACATTTATCACTACTGAACACTTCTTGTTGAATTCAGCCCAATATTCAAATCTATCAAGATCCTTTTGAATCTTGACTCTGTCTTCTGAAGTTAGCAATGCCAACCCCCAGCACTGTATCATCTGCAGATTTGCTGATATCTCTTTTATGACATCTACGTTATTTATAAAAATATTGAAGTATGTTTGCTCCAAAAACAGAAGCGTGAGGAATATTTCCCCAGGTAGATATACATCCATTAAGCACCATGTGTTGCATATAGTCATTAATCCAACTATGAAATCATCTGGCAGTCCATTCCAGATAGCTCCACTTTCTGAAGGAACATAATCCAATGTTTAACCCAAGCTTAAATATGTGTTATCCATAGCATTTACTTGGTTTATTTTCTAAAAAAAGGAGCAGTTAAGATTGAGTTTACATAACTTGCTTTTAACGAACACAAGCTGACTTTCAGTAATCCCCTTGTTTCTTTCTAAGTGCTTGATTATTGTTCTAGGATTTTTTTTCATGTATTGAGGTCAAGTTGATATATGTGTAATTTCTCTAGGTCTGCTTGACTTCCTGCTTGACTTGTGTTTACTTAATAGGGACACAAGGAGCTCTTGAAAGTTTAAAAAAAACACCCAACAATCTGGGTGTGGAGAATGACAAAGTGATTTCTGCAAAGGCTGGAGATAGGAGAAGTTCCTTCCTTTCCAGAACTTTGCAGATGGGCAGAAGCATAACAGAGACAGTCAGGCTGTTTCAATTGCAACGATTTTCTCAAGCTAATAGGTATGTGAAGAATTATTTAAATGGATTTTGAGTGTTTAGGCTTTTCTGTTGCACATTGATTATTATGCTGAATGCACAGATGACTTACAATGTCAACGGCATTAAAACTTGCTAATTTGAAAAGGATGGAATGAACAATTTTGTTAAATTTTGGCTTTTTCCAAATCAGTAATTGCAACTAAAATAAGACATTAAAAGTAAAGCATTAAATGGACTAATATTCAAGATTATGGACTTAACTTTTAAAAAAGTGCAGAAGCATCTCTGTAATTATTTGTCTTATCTGTATGCATTTGATTGGTTAGGTGCAGGTGTCCAAATGGGGAATCCAAAACTTTGGGCCGGTGAGTGAACATGCATATTTATTGGTTTTTCTGTGCTGTAGCCTTTGCGTACTTGTCTCACTGTGTAAATTGGCTAGAAAGAAAGCCAATTTAAGGAACCCCTTTCTGGATTTTACCTCTTTCTCTTTTTTGGCTACAGCAATGGCCAGATGGCCTGTCATAGTCAACATGATCCCTGATTGATAATTCCCCTGCTTCTTTTTCCTTGGATGATAGAAAAATCAAACAGTATTTACTTTTTTTTTAGTGAGCAAAACTTCTGAAGACAGTGCTTTCTACCACTTGCAACCACTTTAGAGTAGAGCAGCATAAGAACATCAATTTTTTTATTTTTTATTTTGCAAATGTGGCAAAACCCTGTCAAGCTTCAAATAGTTAAAAGGAAGGCCAGGTTTTCATAGTTCCACCAGAGACTGTATTTAAAAAAAAGAAACAAAACCCATATCAAAGATCCAGCCTTTCACAACAGGCACCCCCAGTTATCCTGGACAAAATGGCCCTTGAAGGCAGAGACCAGAGATCCATGGAAGGGGGCCTAGCCCATCAGAGCACATCCCAAACAACTGAAGCAAAGTCATTATGTAGGATGGAATGACAGGCAGGAGACAGAATGTAGACTGCCTTGCTGCTTCCAGAATAGAGGGAAAAAAGCACTACTCTTGACGCAGAGCCAGAAAACTCAGGTGGAGGTCCCCTGCCCAACAGGTCATGGTAGGGAAGGGCTGAGGATGCAGCCAATCATTTGTTTCCTCCCAAACTGTTGGAAGTGCCCATCCTTGTGCCTGTGCAAGTGGGAAGTAGGAATCAGCCTTATTACAAATAAGCAAAATAGTGCTAAAGAAATGAATGGGTTTTTTTACAATCCTATTCGCAATAAGATGTATTTGTAAATATATCACCAATATTGATAACAAACAAGGAACCATAGACTGTCGATAATAGAATTGCTAGTTTTTAATCTTTTTTTCTTTTTTCCTTCTTTTTTTTCTGTGTGTTGTATATGTGCTTGTTTGATATTTTAGTTGTATAATCAATAAAGTTTGTTTTAAAAAAACTATACCCGGTAGTTTTAAAGATGATGAGCAATTTATTGTTGAATTTAGTTGATCTCAGATATTTATTTTGTCATATTTTATGGACTCATTTGATCAACTGTCTACAGTTTAGGAAATAAATAATACATGATGTCTATTGTAACTTCTTATCTACTCCTGATGTTGAGCATTTTTGCTTTGCAGGTTTCATTGTTCTGCTGAATCTGCAGCTTGGTAGGACTCTTTTACTTGTATTTGTTAATTGAGGAGTTCAGTTCAAAAAATCTTAAGCAGCCTGTCTTAGCATGACCAGAAGCAGAATTTAAAAAGATACAGTAAAAGTAGTGAATGTTTTAGAAATAAAGCACACTTAGAGTTAAGCCTGCGTATACTTTCTTAAATACTGTTTCTATGTGAGAGCAAGAGAGATTGAAATTAATTAGAATCCCTATTTAAAACATAGGCCAAATTTGCCTCCTTAACTATGGATTTTCCAGTTCTCCTTGGATCACATAATTACATGATTCTTTTATGCTATATTCTAAAGGAACGTAGCATTCGTGCAAGTCTCTAATAGAACAAACTTTACAGGAGGAACTATAGACACTAATCAGCATTAAGAGGAGTACAGAGGGCAATCTTCTATTTGGACTAATTTACTATGTTGAAGCTCTGCTTTTCCCCAAACTACAATGGTTTTAACAATGGCCTGACTAATTTCTTTCTTTCTGGTGACTTCTGAAAACTCTTGATGATGTTCTTCCCCCACTCTGTAGCTACTGCATATATTCAGATTTCCCTCAAAACCAATTTGCTGACAGAATTTTAAATTCAATTTCATTAGCCCTAGACAGATCAAGTTTTAGTTTCTGAGTTTTATCCCATTGGATGAAACTTTCAGGGTTTGTTTTCTCCCATATTTGCTTTAAAATATGTAGGCAAGGAAGTTTAGCAGACAAATTCTTTCAGCAGAATAATTTTTTCCCCTTGTATAATTAAGACCTGAATAACTCTACAATGTTTTATCAGTTGCCTTACACATAATTTAGAGCAAAAATCCTTATCAATAAATAGTATATAAATGCTGACTAGTATCTATATACTCCTACTGGTTATTCTAGATCAGGGATGTCAAACTCACGTCATAGCAGTGTCATGTGATGCATCAGGACTTTCCCCCCTTTGCCAAACCTGGTGTGGACATGGTCAACACATGACATATCCGGCCCACGAGCCAGCAGTTTTACAGCCCTGTTCTAGATGGAATAAAAAATGCTATTCTACTCTAATTTTTTTTTTATTATTGCCAAAGAAGATAGATGATGGAACAAGTTCAGATGCACGACTGAGTCATTTATAGAGTTTTTCTGGATACTTTGAGCTATGTCAACAGACAGCACAAAGAATAATAAAAATGGGTTATAATGAAAAGGACAGAGACAGTTAGTTCCCCAGGTCCAGAAATAAAGAATGCATAGCGATATTGAAGCTTGTAACATCTGCCTTCCCTGTAATGTTCCTACTTTTTCCAAAATATTCCTGGTTCTTAGCTGAAGTTGCTAATGTCTCATTTATGAAAAAGTCACTTATCTTAAAATGTCACTGTTTCATACAACAAGACACTTAACTTGGAAAAACTAATTATTTCAGAAACCTTTTAATTTGACTCAATTTAATCGTATAAATGAGTCAGTACTGCTTTCAAAGGTCAAATGTACATATGTGCATACTTTACATTTTTTATAGTTTACCATTTTCCACTATTCTAAAACCAGTGGAATTGTGTTTTTTTCATCTGGGAAGAAGGCAAGTGTTATAGTGAAGATAAACTGCATGCAGTTTTAGCTATTTGTAATATCTGTTTTCAGGTTCTACCTACAAACTTGTTTGTTATGTCACCAACTGGGCTCAGTATAGGAAAGAACCGGCCATGTTCACCCCAGATAACATAGATCCATTTCTGTGCACCCACTTGATTTTTGCTTTTGCGGATATGGACAACAATCAAATTACAACTAGAGAATGGAATGATGAAACACTTTACAGAAAACTCAATGCCCTAAAGGAAAGGCAAGTAATTTTCTGAAGAAATATATTTGTGAAACAATAATATTGCCTTTATCAATGAGATGACAGCACCAAAACCAGGAAAAACAGAAAAAAGATGCTTAATTCAGACCTTATGGATCATCACATAATCATCACTATGTTGTGGATATTTAGTTATTGTTAATATTGTCAAATGGTCATAATCTCAGTGCCTAGGACAAATATAAAGTAGGTAGGGCAGGCTATGTCATGTATACAGAGGAATTATTGAGTTTGTCATCTGCACCTCTATAACTGTCTGGTTTGGTTCTGCAACCCAACAGGACAGAGACAGACTTCAGAGGATAATTAGGACTGCAGAAAAAAAAATTATTACCCACCTGCCTTCAATTGAGTACCTGTATACTGCACGAGTCAAAAAGAGGGCTGTGAAAATATTTACAGACCCCTCACATCCCGGACATAAACTGTTTCAACTCCTTCCCTCAAAGCGATGCTATAGAGCACTGCACACCAGAACAACTAGACACAAGGACAATTTTTTCCTGAACGCCATCACCCTGCTTAACAAATAATTCCCTCAACACTGTTCAACTATTTACAAAGTCTTCACTATTATTACTATCTTCTCATCATTCCTTATCACCCATCTTCTCCCACTTATGACTGTATGATTGTATAACTTTGTCACTTGTCTCCTTATGATTTATATTGACTGTTTCCAAGTATGGTTTGATTGTTTACTGTACCCTATGACTATTATTAAGTGTTGTACCTTATGATTCTTGACTCTTGACTAATGTATCTTTTCTTTTATGTACACTGAGAGCATTTGCACCAAGACAAATTCCTTGTGTGTCCAATCATACTTGGCCAATAAAGAATTCTGTTCTGTTCTGTTCTGTTCTATATGAATGACATCCCTTTCCCCTATTCAGTTCTGAGAGTATCGGTATTTTTCTTTGTTTTTCAAATTATTTTAAGGATATTGTAGAGCTTTCTCTATAGTTTTGTGTTCTTCTTAGCTTAGCCAGACTCTTTTGATATAACTTTAGGAATCTCACTTTGAAGCAAGATGATTCACAATCAACTTTACACAAACCAATTGTATGTTTTATGGATGAAGGAACATTGGATATTGCTTGGAGTGGATATATTTCATAGGGATCAAACCAATATATGCAAATAACCCTTTTTTTACAGATATATCCCTAGTATATATATCCCATAAAATGGAATGTCTTAATTTAAAAGCCAGTGGTTCTGCTCTCTTTCTCTCTTTTACCATTAGGAAAATGCAAATGTTAGTTATGAATGTTTATATATATTGTTAGCCTGTTTCAAACATAAACAGCCAGCTGAGTATGTTGAGTATGAGATAGATGGACCCAAGCTTTTCATCTAGAAGAAAATAATAATTTAAAGAATCTTAGTAAATCATAATCTAACTAAAATAATACTAGCGTCAGCCTTGAATTTTTAGATTTGTTTGAGCAATCCAAATTATATTGGAAATATCAATGAGAAAGAGAAAGGAGAAATGCTGTTCTCTATCACTATTGGAACTGCCAGAGAAGCCAAGAATGTGAAAGCCTTTTATATTCTGGTCTATCATGTATGGTTTCTTTAATCGCTACTGTGTCAATAAATCCTTGGCACAAAGTTTTCCTCAAAGCAATACCAATAGCACTTAGACTTCTAAACTGCTTCACAGGGCTTTACAGTCCCTCTAAGCGGTTTACAGAATCAGTATTCTGCCCCCAACAATCTGGGTCCTGATTTTACTGACCTCAGAAGGATAGAAGACTGAGTCAACCTTCAGCTGATGAGAATCGAACTGCAAACTGCAGGCAGCTGGAAGTCAGCAGAAGTAGCCTGCATTACTGAATTCTAATGACTACACCATTACGGCTCAAAGGCTATTAGCTTGTGGTATACATATATAAGGAAACAGTTGATGGAAATCTTGGGATAATTTTTCGAGACATGCCTTATTGTTGATTGTCAATATACACAGAATGTTTATATTATTATTTTTGCTTTCCAGAAATAACAATTTACTCACATTGCTGGCTGTTGGAGGGGGAACATTTAATAACCAAAAGTAAGTGTTTTCTCCTAATCTTTTTCACTGAAAGAGGCCATATATTTGTAATAATGTGATTTTTAATCTGATCTAAAGGAGATAGAAAGGGATGGAGATTCCATCTCTGCAGCTGGGAAGGAATTCTGCTGGCAAAAAGATGATGGAAACCACATTTACATACACAGAAAGTTCTATGGAGAAGTCAAGCAAACACTGTTTATTGCTCAGTCTAAAGTATTTCAATTTCCCCATTTCTCCTATAAAGTGGATTTTGCTCTTCAACCTGAAGGCTTCACAGCTAATTTTCTATACTACTGCTTTCACTGGTGGAAACAAACAAAACAAGCTGAAAACTCTGACAGAAAGACAGTTTTGTCTTGGCCAGTTTAAGCTAGCTTGGCTTTGGAAACAGCAGTGAATCTATGTGTTAACTCCTCCTTTCCTGCAACATTACCCCTATCTTCATGTTACATTGCTTTATTGGTGATTTGTAATGAGATATTTAAGGCATGATAGAGAAAATTGAGTAAGATTTTTTTTCTTACTTGGTATAATTACAGTATAAAAATGCTGGGATAACTCCCCCCCTCACTGCCTTAATCTGTTTCCTGGTCCATGCTTGAATCAGACTTACATGCCTTTATCATACTCGTCTTTATGTTTTGCCCCTATCCCAGCATGGATTTACCAAGAATGTAATCTCATATGCTTTACACTTTACTTTCCAATCTGTCGATGACTCAGTTGGGTGGTCTCTACTGAGTGGGATCTGCCTGGCTTTCATTGGCCATATCTCTTCCCCTCCAATCCCTGGACATTATTTTCTAATCATCAACTCAGAGATGTGGATTAGTTTATTTGTGTGACAGCGTTGGTGGTAGATGGCAAAGAAGGAGAGAAAGACCTATTTGTTTATTTTTGCATGGCATATGTTGAGGTAATTCCCCGTTAGGAGAATGAATGCATACAGGGAGACGTATTTGAGAGTAGTGTTTGAATAATACACACACAGCACACAGATACGCTGTACAGTAAATATAGGTTTTTATTTTCAGAAACGTTAAGCAAAGTTCAAACACAGTCCAAAGTCATTCACAGGTAAGAAAACCTGATCACAGGTTTTCAATCCAGGGATAATTACAATATCAAAGTCCAGTGTCAAAAATAGTTCAGTATCAAATCCAGGAATATCAAGTAGGAAAAATGGAACGGCAATACTCTCTAACAGAAAGAAAACACATACACTCATACTCTCTTCTGAGACTAAGTCTAAGACAACCCAGGTTTCTGGCTCCATCTTATGGATGTTTGAGTAACTACACCCAATTGCAGTTTTTAGCATGCTCTTAAAGAGACAGTATTAAAATTTATATCCTGGTTTATATATTTCCAACCCAAATACCTGTTAGGATACTTACATTCCTAGCACCATAGCTCTCCTCATTTCTCTGCTGTTATTTACTATGTTTTTGAACACAATGCTGTTCCAAGATAATACTGATTCTATATTGCAAAGGAGCCCAAATGATATCAAGTGTTTGTTAGGTTGTCTTAGAAGCATCGTCAAAATAGTTTCATGAAACTTGGCAATCTAGCCATTTATCAAAATTCACTTCTTACAAAAACTGGTGGATAATACTTTGATGAAGCCATAGGAAGGACCTTCAGACTTGGAGAATACGTCTCAGTTCTTCAAATTCATACATATAATGCATAAATACTCATTACATTTAATGAACTGCTAAAGAACAAAGATCTGGACCACACAATTCCTATCTAGCAGAAAACTACACTGTTCTTTCCAATTTTTTTTCATTGTTACTCTTCTACTATTTTTGTCAGAATTCTGTGAAACACCACTTCCATCACACTTAACAAACAATCCGCCATTCTGTAGTATTTGCTCTTCAGACATTTGTTTTGTAACAGGGAACAGTAACAGCATTCTTCTCATACATGTAAAACAAACTGCACAACTGTATTTTAATATATTCCTAACCTTATCCCTGCATTATCCATGAGATTAGACCATGCATCTTCCTCTTCTCGAAATTTTCTTCCTTCTCAAATACTCCTTTTCCATTCTGAATTACAAAGTTCTATATACCACAGTTATCAATGAGAAGACCTATGAATATTGATCTCCATTGACCATCAAGGCTCTGATCAGCTGAGGTTTTCACATTACTTTTTAATAAAATAGAATAGTTTACCAAATTAAACTGTAAATTGGGACATGTAGCTTTCCCTACAAACTCTGAAAATATTTGACTGAACTTGGAAACAAATGGAGCATTTTCTATTTTTATTTATTAAGATGGTTAAGTGCTGGAACTTGCCAATTTCTAACTACGGTTCATGATGTTCTGCGGAAATAAAAGAGAGGTCCATGCCAATGAACATTGAAAATTATGCTGTCCAAAAATAATGTATGTCTTCTAGATTTACTACAATGGTATCATCTTCAGCAAATCGCCAGACATTCATCTCATCAGTTATACCTTTTCTCCGTGAGCGTGGATTTGATGGTCTGGATCTGGATTGGGAATATCCAGGGTCCAAAGGTAGCCCTCCAGAGGACAAACATCTCTTTACCATTTTGATTCAGGTATGAGACTGAAAGCATAAACTTTTAATGGAAATTTCCATAAAAGAACCTTGTAGGCTGCTGTGGTTTGATATTCTGCAACGAATGCCCTTCTGAAATCAACAACAGTCAAACTGCAGTAAAAAAATTCTTTTAAAATTAAAATTGAAAATCAATTTCCAATTAAGATTTGCTATTCAGAATTGTGCTCTTATCACAATGTTGCTCTAGAACCCAGTCCTAGAATACATATTTTATTGAAATGATATATAAATAAAATGATAGCATATTTTTGAGCATGTATGAAGTACTTATGTATTTATAGATAGCCTCTATTTATTTAGAATGGCAAAATACATAGTAAGAGCAAAGGTAGGACTGAAGTTCCAACTTAGTTTTTGTATTATTTACAAATATTCTTATACTCTTTCATGACTAACAGTACAATTCTGTGCATGTCTACAGAAATAAGTTTGACTGAATTCAGGGATGCTTTTTTTCCAAGTTAAGAGCTATAGGATTGGAGCTTGAAGCTACAATCTGGAATGCACATCATTGCTCCTTTCCTGGGAAGCTGCCTTAGAACCTCCTCCACCTCTCCCTCTCATGTTGCAAAAGACATTTCAGTATGCCCTTAGGATTTCACTATGCCACCAGTACTGTATGTTGGACTTAGAGGCTTATTTAGATTCTCTCCTGTTCCTTGTTTAGAGCATATTCCTCTAAAAGAGCTTGTATCGGTTAGTTTCAGGGATGGGTTTCTACCAGTTCGCACTTATTCTCTAGAACCGGTTGTTAACATTCTAAGCAGTTCAAAGAACTGGTTGTTAGAAGAAATTACAGGCCTAATCCTGTATGGAAGGCAGGAAGGAAACATCCTGGTGTTGCTTACAGAAACTGCCTCTCCGTTAACCCTTATTACATTCTTGGCAGGACTTCTCTGGAGTTTTTTCCCCCTCCTTTGCTGGTACTTTGCTTGTGTGGAATGAGCATTCAAAGTTACAATGGCACTGAAAAAAGTGACTTATGACCATTTTTCACACTTATGACTGTTGCAGCATCCCCACAGTCATGAGAGGCCAAGCAAGGAGATGCATGCCTCGATGTGAGTGATATTGAGTTGGCCACACCGAGCCAATAACATGACCACCAAGCCATGTCTACCACCTAAGCCACACCCACAGAACCGGTTGTTAAAAAAATTGAATCCCACCCCTGGTTAGTTTTCTAATTGATGTCAAGTAAGGGAAAGGAAACAAAATGTGAGTGCAGGTGGTTGGAATGTGGGAGTCACTGAAACATTTTGCTCTGCCTGCACTGAAAACATGATAGTAGTTCTACCACAAAGATTTATATATTGCTCTTTAAATTACCCAGTGTAAAAAGAAGTTTCAGTTAAATAGGCTATATTTATATGTGTGTATATTGTATATACATATACACACATGCGATTGTATATATGTATGTTATGTATATATAAACGTGTGTGTGTGTGTGTGTGTAAATATATACACATACACACACACACACACACACAGTCCTATGACTTAATGATTGATGTGTATGAAAAATTTCTAATATGAAAAACTTCCTTTGAAACATTTTCTGGTCTCTTGTAAATGAGCAATAGTAACTGCTGCTGCTTCTGTTTCCCTCTGCAGGAACTATCAGCAGGCTTTAGGGAGGAGAGTGAACAAACTGGAAAGCCACGGCTCCTGCTTTCAGCAGCTGTATCTGCAAGCAAAACAACCATAGATGCTGCATATGAAGTGCCTGCACTAGGGAAGTAGGTCTTGCAATCTAAGATAAGGGGTCCAATATGAAATTACAGTGATACCTTGGTACTCATCCTTAATTGGTTCTGGGACGCATTATGAGTACCAAAAACAATGAGTACCAAACAATTTTTTTTCATAAGGAATCTAGTGAGTCACAGGGCAGCTGACACTGACAAGTTCTAGCTTGTGCATTGAGTACCAAATGAACGTGAATACTAGGACATTTTCATGTCAAAATGCATTGAGTACCAAATTTGATGAGTTTCAAGGCAGTTGAATACTAAGGTACCACTGTTTGGAATATTACCTCTGCAAGATCAGATAATAGATAATAATGGGATGATGAAATGTTCTGTCTATCCTATCTCTTAGCAGCAGATTGGGGAAAAAGTGATATAGGATATTTCTGTGAAGGTTTCTTGACAGCTTTCTAAAGAGCATTAACTACATCCTGCTTTAGCTTACCATTACATATATATTTATGTTGCAAAATAGCTATTGTTTTTTTATCCTTTTTACTGGCTGTTTGTTTATTGTTTCTTAATTTTTATTTTTAATTTGCAATCAGGAATCTTGATTTTATCAATGTGATGACTTATGATTTCCATGGAAGTTGGGCTTCAGTGACAGGACACAACAGCCCATTGCATCAAGGTTTAGTAGTCTACGATCCAGTTCCCTTCTACAATTGTGTAAGAAAAATGGCAACATAAAGATCTGTTACAGCTTTTATAGTACTCATAGTGGGAATTTGATTAAGCAATACAAGCATATGTAGAATATTGATGAAACTCAGGATAGTTGATGTATGTGTATGTCAAAATCAAAACACGTTTGAATTTTCTATGTCTCAGAAAAGCAGGATGCTAGCTAAAGGCTTATTTTTTTAACCCCTCATGCTAAAATTGCTGTATCACTGACAAAAGGCAAAAGATATGCAGAAGAAGAGCTTGAGTTGGGTACAATAATTAAGAAAGGATTAAGCAAGCTCTGACTGTAACATGACTTGCACCCTATAAACAACCTAGTAACTAATGGGTCACTTGAATCAGGAGCCCAAGTTAGTTAATTCATCTATTTGAATTCTCATTTTTTTAAACTTACAAAGCACTAAGCATAATATGCAAAGATCATGATGGACTGAGCATGCTGTACACTGTAACCACTTGAAAGCATTTTTAATCATTAATTCACTTACTGAAACCACGGTATGATTGATAATCTGAACCTAGAAAAAGAGGTGTGTTAGCTCAGGGAGAGAGACATAGAGAAGGCTGGAACCAATCTTTTTTATTATTATTTATTTGTAAAAGGCATTTGCTTTAGCCATAGCTTCTCATTCCACTAAAATTGGGCACTAAAAGATGGGGCTATTTATTTGTCCATCTGATGTGATTTGCTGCTGAACAGACTAATAAATGACTATACTGTTCTTGATCTTCCTCTATCCTGTTCTGTACTGTGAACAGACTATGTGTGTATCATTTTTGTTTGTTTTTATACTGTAGGAGTATGCAATGAAGTACTGGAATGATAGTGGAGCACCATCTGAAAAACTGATGATGGGGTATCCAACTTATGCACGTACTTTTAGACTTTCTAGTACAAACACTAATGTTGGTGCTCCAGCCTCTGGTGGAGGCAGTCCTGGTGTCTACACTAAACATTCTGGTATCCTGGCATATTATGAGGTAAATGCCCTTCATTTGATTAAAAATTAAAATTTCTTTAACTAGGTGGCAACCCCAGTTTTCCTTGGCTAATCTCCAGAAGTTAAGGTTTGGATTGGCTTAAGCTTGGATAGAAGATTTTCAGGAAATTCCAGGGGCCTTTGCTAGGCTGGGAGGTTATTAATTTACAAACTAACTTGCACAAGAAAACAGTGAGAAGCCAGCTTCATACTATTATCAACGTGGACCTAAGGGTGAACTTTCCATAGGTAAGATTATAAAATGGCCATGGATAAATTGTTCTCTCTCAGCTTTACTTGCTTTGTGAGTTTGTTGAAAGAGTAAACAGAAATATTTCTATGAATGTGTCTCTAAAATCTTGAAAGAAAGGTAAGGCAAAAAGATCAAAACTTAACAATATGAAAATCTTAGTAATATAATTTTCAAGTTTATTGGGAGCAATGTCGCAATTTAATTTACATTTGAGTAAATATTTACAGAACAAAATTGTTTGTTTACTATAATTTAACTCACTTAAATTGGGATTTCTTTCCCCACTAAAGATTAGAACATTTTCTTGGCTATCAGTTGAGACATCTTTTTTCCTATTCTTATTCTACAGAGATCTATTTTTAAGAATCTGCTGTAGGTTAAAATTTGAGCACACAATGCTCTTTAATAGCAATTAATTCCAATATTATAAAAACAGTTCTGCTTTATTTTGTTCTGTCTCTTGAACTGCTTTGACAACAGATCATAATCATTTTGATAGGTTTGTGCATTCTTACAAGGAGCTAGCAAAGCATGGATTAAAGAACAGAAGGTTCCATATGCTTTCAAAAATGGAGAATGGGTTGCATATGATGATGAAAAAAGTTTTCAGTTTAAAGTAAGTTGTCATTTTGTATAATCATTATTGAGTTACTGGTAAACCTAATTTAGCCAGATTTCATGAAATAAAATCATGACTAACTTCCAATATACAATGTACATAGAAAAGTTTCATCTGCTTATTAAAGTTATCATGCTGTTACACAGTATAAATTCATATCTGGGCCTGATGCCATTGAATAATACAAAAAAAATTTTTGTCAACAAAACCAGAGCATTAAGGCAGGATCACCATCTCCAAGTTGCAAAAATCCAGACAACTAATAAAGGGCTATAAAATGACAGCAACTGCTTTTTATTGCCATCTAGTGACAGTCAGAATTTTTGTAGCTCAGATGCACGAGCCCTATTTAAGATTCACATAGAACTGCTAAATTTTATAACAAAATATAGCATGAAGTATTTCTGATCAAATGTCCAGCCGACTATTTATGCATTCCATATATTAGCTATAAATCTAAACATCTTTGTATTCTTATACAATTTAAACATGCTCTTGTTTGTCAGTGGGTCAGTTTTTAACACAGTAACTGGAGCATTCACTTGGTCATCATAATGGAAGAAGTGATTATAGGGTTTTTCCCTTTTCAATATAAATTTCCTTCAACTTGGCTAACTCTAAAAGCTGCTGTTTTTCTTTGCAGACTGAGTTTTTGAAGAGGAAAGAGTATGGAGGAGCCATGGTCTGGACTCTTGGTCTGGATGACTTCTCTGGCAATTTCTGTGGTCAAGGAATCAACCCCCTTGTGAATAAACTAAAGAGTGTTCTAATGAACTGAGGTAATTTATTAATAGCATTGTGTCAATCTTTCCCACTGCTCTTCAGACAGATTAACTCTCACTTTGATTCTGAGATCATTAAGAAAAGACAATCCCTGCTCTCAGGTTTAAAATCTAAAAAGATATAACACAAAAGAAAAGGCTGGGGAGGTACCAATTCTTTAAGATAAAATGATAATATAATATCCAGTTATAATGCATATAGAAATAAATATTTGAACTTTTTTCAACTACATTATCTCATTAATAAAAAACATTAAAAATAACCAATACTAAAATATCAGTAATAACAACAAATGTTAATAAAAATAGATGACAGTAGGAAGTGAATTCCCAGGGCAGCATTACAAATCATTATAGTATCCTGTATGTGACAAAGATGTAACCTCATCTACACATTTCCTATCCTAAGTATAATGTAAAGTATAACATGAAAACTTCAAAAAAGACCTGGTAGGTGACTGAAGTTAATATTTACAGGTCCATATGGGAATGGCTATAATATAAATAGTCTTTGACTTACAACCACAATTGAGCCCAAAATTTCTGTTAAGTGAGAGATTTGATAAGTGAATTTTGCCCCATTTCTTGCCCTAGTTGTTGTGTGAATTACTGCAGTTGATAAATTAGTAACCCAGTTGTTGAGTGAATCTGGCTTTCCATTGACTTTGCTTGTCAGAAGGTCACAAAAAGGTGATCACATGACCTTGGGACACAGCAAGTCATAAATATGAAAGTTGCCAAGCATCTGAATTTTGATCACATGATCAAGGGGATGGTGCAAAGGTCGTAACTGTGAAAAATGGTCCTAAGTAACATTTTTAGTGCCCTTGTAATTTTGAATGTGTCACTAAATGAACTGTTGTAAGTAAAGGACTACCTTTATATGTAAGGCTATGACTTAGAATGAATTAAACAGTTGAAAGGAAAATATCTTGTGCCTCTGTAAAACAAAAAAGAGAAAAAATTTAATAGATCTGAGTAAATAGTTCTGATCTTCTAGACTTGAGCTGATGAACACATGCATGGAAGTGAAGGTGTATAAATGAAAGGGCTAAAACATATGAATTTCTCATGAATTAGTGGCATTTAGGTTGTTGTGGATGTATGTGAAAAGTAGAAATCCATGGTTTGGTGATAATTGCTTATTATGGTCCACTGAATGCCAATATTATATATGTTTGAGGGAGACACTGTGCAACAAAATGAATGAATGAATGAAAGAATGAATGAATGACCTAGGAAAAAACATAATACCATGAGGTGAGATGACTTTGGTGGTAAAGACAACAGAGCACAAAAAAAGTAACTGGGTTATTCAGAGCCCCAACAATGAATAGGAATGATTGGTTTCAAATATGCGAGTTAAACACAAGTATCATCATGGCAAAGCACAGGAATGATTATATGCATAGCAAAATAATTATCAATCTTTAAGCATGATTGATTTCATAGTGCATGAGGAAAGACCGAGAGAACTGATGAAGGATATAAGGTGAATAATTATTTTGATCATGGGATACACTATTATTTAGGCAAGAGTGACACTTGGGAGAAAATGTGCATGCTTAGAGTTGGTTGCCTCCTTATTAGCTCCATTCAGAATTTGTAGTTTTCCTATTATGAAATAAATCCTATGAAATTTCTGTGAGTCATTAAATTCTTTGCCATTGCAAGTGCTACTACTGGTAGTATATGCTGGGCCTAACTGAAAATGCTTTTGAAACATATACTGACTCTGAATTTGGAATGATTATCTTTCATGATGTCTTTTTATTTGAAAGGGAAGGATTGGGATGGGAAAAATTATCTGGAGGACTCATATGGTATCCTTCTTAAACTTTAAAGAAATATTTGTTTAGTATCATATAATGTTAAAAGTGAAGGTTGGGGCCAACTATTAAACTCCTAAAGTTTTATTTGGAATAACAGTTACACATATACAGTACATACAATGGGTCAAACTAAATTAAGGCAATGGGAAATCCATTATTGTATTCCTACAGTTGAATAACTGAAAACATGTTTTTCCCAAACTCACACTTCTTTAGGAAACTGCCACTTTGCTTTTGAACAAAAATAAGTTGTGCTTACTATAGTTGTAATGTAAGCCCCAGAAAAAATAGCAACCAACAATTTAGGTATTATAGTGCAAACAGGCAAAGGGATTAATTCCTTTATGCTCTAGCGCAAATCTTATGGAAGGTTGCTATTAAACTTTTTTAAAAATTAGAAAGTCCTACCTCCACTCTTTTCTGGCTTCAGTTATTTTGCCTTGAAATTCCAATTACAGATAGGTTTTTTTGTGCATTTTTTCTATAGGTCTCTGCAAGAAGAATGGAGAGCCTACCTCATCCTCATCTACATATATCCCTGAATTATTTCTTGATCATAAATACTTCGTAGGATATAACATAGAGTGATTTATGTAACTAAATAAGCAGTGTCAAATTTTAATATTCAAAATCCCAAATTATTGTTGAAAATGTACTGTTGGGAAAATAGTGGTATCTTTCTATAGCTACTTCTAATATCAAATTTATTTTCTGAATTTTATGATAATATTAGCAAAAATTAAATGTGGTGCATGCTTCGTTACCCAACCTGAAAGAAATAAAATAACATTCAATGGAAGACTAACAAGTCGTCTATTTTTTCCTGTTCAGGTAATGTATTTCTTTGAAAAAAATATTAATAAATCAATGACTCAATCAGTTGCTAAGTTTCTTTTACTGTAATATGTTTGCAGATGTTTGGTTATTAACAGTAAATTACCAATTACTTCAATAAGTGGATGACTGGATAGAGAGAGGCAGGATTTATGCTGTAAAGATGTTTTCCTAGTGTGGTATATTTTACAAAATTTGAACCAAAGTATCCTTGATGAATGGGCAAGGGTTATGAGAATTACATAATCAATATCTAAAACACACTAGAATGGGAAGGCTACTGTAGGATTGAAACTGAAATTTGGCAATCTATAAATTATTTCTATTTTGTACAAGTGGTTTTGTATACCTTCTAATCTAAAGCTGCTGGTTTACAAGACACACAATGGATTCCATAAGGCTTTATATGAAACTTCTAAATGAAATCTAATTTTTTGAGAAATCAAGCATAAGAGGAACTTAAAGAAAACTTTTTATACAATGGTGTGCAGAAAAGTACTTAGGTATCCTGCTACATCAGCAGAGCAATTGTCTGCTATGACAGTTTGGTATATTATCTCATAAAACTGACTAGAAATTGTAATACGTTTTATTTTATTACTCATGTGTTTTCTCTCATACTGCAGAGTACAGAAGGTAAAAGTTTGCATGGTACAAATCTAGTTCCTAACTATAAAAGCTACAGCTCAATTCAGGTTGAGTGAAAAGCATCCTACAAGAATTTAGCATAGAAGTCTTTCCTCAAATGGGAAATCTCTGTTTCTTGTTCAGTATTAATTAAGTTTGTTTTCTCTGCAGCAGCAGAGAGAAAAGAACATTGTGCTGAAATACTTGCATATATATTCCATAAAAGTTCCATTCTGAGTCACATGCAGGATATGCAGTGCAAGAAATGGTATCATCTGCAGCAGATCATATGGCACATACTTCTAATACCTTTGTATTTAAAAAAAGACACTGGCCAGTGCAATGGAGTAGCAGGACAAAATATTTGCAATTTTAGGTTTTAATCAATACATGCTTGATCCCATAATAATTTCTCGAATTTGGCATGACTTTTGTGAGCATTACTACCTTAACTCTCAAACTGATATATCAATAGAGATTATACTTTGAAAATCTGCATTTCTCTTAAGCTTTTTTCTAACTAAACTGTTCAAAACCAGAAACATTTTAACAGGTGTGGCTGTTGGCAAAATCCAAATTCCTACATTTGAAGCAACTTCCAAATAATAAATGTTTTATAGTGAAATAGTGGAGAGCATTAGGAAAATAGAAGCATTTAAAAGGCTAACAAAGAAATTCTTTATGAAATAGTATGTGAATCCAAGTAACATATTAATTAAAATGTTCATTAGAAGTAAAAGTAAAAAGTAAATTAATGGTCTAAGCATGTAGGAGAGGAAATATCTTCAGCCAATTAATCACTGTAATATATGCTCAGGTAGGCCACCAGATTCCGATATTTCTTGAATTCTTTATCAGAAAGCAGCTGAAATGAAAGTAAAAAATATTAACTCTACATAATTGCTGTCCTATTGTTATTACTAGCTCAATAGCCGTGCTTTGCTACGAAACTATGTGCTCGGGCTTATTTTTGGGGGAGGAAAATAGGGGGGGGAAATTCTGCCTCTGCCTACCAACCTCCATCTGTATTCATCTGGCTAGTGTTCTGTCTGTGTGGAGAGTTGAGGGCTGTTTGGAAACTGAAACAGTATTTGCTGTGTGAGCAAGGAGACTTCAAGGAGCCTGGGCATGGCATAGCTCAACTGTTCTGTACTAAAGCTGCTAGGTGCTGTGAAACTAAAACTGAAAATCCTCTCCTCTGCTTGTGTTTTGCATTTGGAACAGATTTCTTTTCAGTTGGGGAGGGGAAGTAGAACTCCTTAGCATTCTTCTTCTTCTTCTTCTTCTTTTTCTTCAGCGTTTGTCTCGCGCTCGGGCGAGGTCCGCTAACGTCCTTGAGTACTGCTTCCACACCTCTCTGTCTGCCACGCGTGTCGGGTCTGCCTTCGCGATCTCTAGATCGGCCTTGATCGTGTCCATCCAGCGTTGTTTAGGTCTACCACGCGGTCTCGCTCCTCCGACAGTCACCTTCATTACAGATTTGATGATGGATTCTTCCTTGGCGCGGCTCACGTGGCCGAACCATCGTAGCCGGGACTGCCTCATGACCGTGGGGATGGGCACGACGTTGAACCGTCTACGCACTTCTTCGTTCCTGACGCGATCGAGTAGGGTGAGGCCTACCGACCATCGGAGCATTCGCATCTCCATTATCTGGAGTCTGCTTTCGACTTCTTTGGTCGTCGGCCAGCACTCTGCGCCGTATATGGCCACGGGGCGCACCACAGAGTTATAGATTTTCGCCTTCAGGCGCATCGGCATCTTCTTGTCACAGAGGACGCCCGTGACGGACTTCCATTTGCCCCACGCTGCATTGATCCTGGCTGCCACCTCAGTTTGTAATAGGCCTTCTTCCCCAAGAGTAGTTCCCAGGTACTTGAAGGTGGAGGCGCGCGGTAGCTCCTGCCCGTTCACGTGGATGGAGCCTGTCATTTCATTGTCAGTGGTCAGGTATTCAGACTTCTTTAGGTTCAGCCGGAGCCCGAACTGCTCGAGGCGGTCGTGCCACTGTTGGACTCGGTGCTCGAGTTCAGCCTTGCACAGGTTTGCCAGGAACACATCATCGGCGTAGAGCAGCGTCCATGGGGCGGGCGTGTACAGGTCGTGTGTAATTGTGTCCATCACCAGAATGAACAGCAGTGGTGAGAGAGCAGAGCCCTGGTGTACGCCGACGGTAATATTAAACTCTTCTGATATCCCAGCTGCCGCTTTTACACGGCTTTTGTGACATCTGTATAGGAGTTGGACCCATTGTACGAGCAGCTCAGGCACGCCGTGATCTCGCAGTGCGTACCAGATGAGATCGTGCGGGACACGGTCGAAGGCCTTTTCCAAGTCTAGGAAGGCGGTGTGGAGCGGGATTTTCTTCTCTCTGTGAGCCTCCATCAGCATCCGCACACCGAAGATGGCGTCGGTGGTGCCGCAGTTCTTGATGAATCCAGCCTGGTTGACGCTGATGTCGACGATGTCCCGAATGCGCTTATCAAGGACGCGTTCAAAGATCTTCATAGTGTGTGACAGTAACCTGACCGGTCTGTAGTTGGAGCAGTCCGCTGGGCTGCCCTTTCCCTTCCAGATCGGAACAGTGGTGCTGCGGTACCAGTCGTGTGGCACTTTTCCCGTGGAGACGATGTTGTTGAACAGCTCGCACAGCCACAATGCCGAGCCCGGTAGTGCCTTTTTCCAGAAGTCGGCAGGGATGTCGTCTGGTCCTGTTGCCTTACCGTTTTTCATGGCCTTGATGGCGTCGGCGACCTCGCTGGCATAAATGCCTGAGACTGGGCCTTCAACTGGGTCACCTCGCGGGGTTCGTGGGTGTGGGAACTCCTCGGTGGAGATCTTCTCGAAGTATTGCCGCCACCTCTCCGCAGCGTCTCTGGGGTTGACGATCAAATTTCCCCTTTCGTCGTTGATCCCATGAAACTGGTCAATGTCCAGGGTCTTCCTGTGTCTGCTTTTGGCTAGGCGGTAGATCTCATTCTCGCCTTCTCGCGTGTTCAGCTTCTCGTAGATGTCATCGTAGTGGGAGCTTCTGGCTGTCGCTACTGCTTTCTTGGCTGCCTTTTTGGCCGCCTTGTATTCGCAGAGCTTCTCGCTGGTCTTGTCCTGAAGAAAGGCCTTGTAGAGCCGTTTCTTCAGGTGTACGGCATCTTGTACTTCCGGTGTCCAGAGCCATGTATCTCGTTCGATGCGTCTCCGTCCTGGCTTGGTGCAACCAAGCTGTTGGCAGCCGGCAGTGTGAACAGTGCTCTTCAGCATGGACCACGCTTCCTGTGGCCCGTCGACCATCTGCAGGAACTGCTCCGGTTTGATGAGGGGTCCCGCCATCTTCTTCTGGTTCCACCACTTGATTCGTGGCTGGTCTGCATTCCTTTTGTCAATCCTGGTCTTGGGCTTGCTGATCCTGATCTTCGCCATCAGCGGCCTGTGCTGACTGCTCGATTCGTACGGGTACACCTTGGCGTTGAGCACGTTTTTAGCGGCTCTTCGTCGTACGATGATGTAGTCGATCTGTGTGTGGTGGCTCCCGTTTCTGCTATGGTAGGTGAGGAGTTGAGATTCTCGCCTAATGAAGCAGGTATTCGTGATGGTCATATCATGGGAGTCGGCAAAGTCCAGGATTAGAGCGTGTTAATAATAATATACGAAATACTATTGCTCTGATGGTCATTTTGAAAAATCCTTTCTTAGTCAGCACCTAGAAGCCAAGAGGAACATATGTGCCAACTTGATGCCAAATCATGATATCATTTAAATGTTAAAATAAGAAATGAATAAAGTAATTACTGTATAATATCCAGACCATCTGTTCCTGCAACAAACAGCCTAGTAGCTATAAGCTACCACACGATTTTTTGTAAGCTGTTGCTCAAGGACAAGAAGATATGTTAATCTATTTCAAGAACTGAAGCATTTCTATCATTCCAAACATTCTTAACCCCAAATTTCACACCTCGGCTCTGAAAGTTCTTCTCTGTGGCATTGGAACCAAAGACCAGTCTGGGGGACCAAACTTCCCTGGCCAACTGACATGTCTGTGTGGCAACTTGTATGGGTTGTAAGTTCCAGGTCTGAGGAGACAGGAGAGAGAACAGACAAGTTCTTCAAAACATGTATTTTCTGTTATATACAGGTAGTCCTCAACTTACAACAGTTTGTTTAATGACCATTCAAAGTTACAACAGCACTGAAAAAGTGACTTATGACCATTTTTCACATGTATGACCGTTCTGGAGTCACCAGGGTCATGTGATTTAAATTTGGATGCTTGGCAACTGACTCATATTTATAACCACTGCAGTGTCCCAGAGTCATGTGATCCCTTTTTGCGACCTTCTGACAAGCAAAGTCAATGGGGAAGCCGGATTCACTTAACAACCATGTTAGTACCTAACAATGGTAATGATTCACCAAACAAATGTGGCAAGAAAAGTTGTAAAATGGGGCAAAACCCACTTAGCAAATTTCTTACTTAACAACATAAATTTTGAGCTTACTTGGGTTGAACGTCTTGGTAATACAGGGATAACTGGTGGACTTTCCTGTGCCACCTGCTCCTGTTCTCCTACCTCCTCTTGTGCCTGTTCTTCCTCTTTAATGGCTATTCGTGGTTTACTTATTTCATCTTTAGGGACTATTTGGGTGTCAGTAATAATATTGGGTGGGATTCCTGTTCCAGTTTATCCCACCCAATGTGCTACAATAAACATGAGCTGTGCCTTGATCCCAGAATCTGAATGATCTATGTTTGGCCTCGTAACCCACAAAAAATAACTTCTTAGCGCTATGTTGCCCTTTCAGTCTTACTTGTGAGGGAATATGCACCCATGCTGGAGCTCCAAATGTGTATAGGTAACTTAAATTTGGTTTTCTGCCATGCCAGCGAGTGAATGGCAATTCACCAGTTATTGTATTAACTACATTGTTTAAAACATGGTAACTACACATTATGGCCTCACCCCACAGTGTTTCAGGTAAAACTGAATCAGATAACACAGTGCGAGCCATGACTTGTAATGTTTGACCTCTTCATTCTATAAATGAGTTATGTTGTGATCTGTAAGGTGCAGAACGTTTATGCTGGACACCAGCCAATTTCAACATAGTTTGGAATCTTTTGTTAACAAACAAAAGTAACTGAAGTAATTACTTTACTTTTCATTTTTCTCTCAGCAAACCTTAGCCAGTTAAAGAAATGTTGGAATATTTCTGTTTTGTTTTTCATAAGATAGCAGAAACTGTAACGTGAGTAATGGTCCATAATACTCAAAATATAACAGGCACCTCCTAAACTTGGTTTCTTAGGACCAGTTATGTCAGCAAACACAACCTCTAAAGGTTCTTTGGTTTTAAATCCATTTAGTCTATTTGCAGGAGTAACCTTACTTTTCTCCTGGCTAAAAGCATTACAGTTTAAATACTTGCTACATGGTTTCAATTTTACTCCCTCTGACAATTCAACAGTTTATTTGAGCATTTTGAAATTAATGTGCCCCAAACGTCTATGCAGTAAATGTATGCATTCATCATGTGGTTTAACATTGTTATAAACTGTGTTAGCCATCTTCAACTGGTCATCATGTATCACATATAAATCATTCTCTAAATTAGCAGTAACACTTTTACCCTTTCTCTATTATACAGTTATCTCCCCTAAAGGTTACTGCATAACCAATATTAACTAAAGCCCTTACTGATATCAAATTAAATTTCAGTTTAGGTACATATAACATAGTTAAATGTTCATTTATACAAGAACAATATGCAGTACCTTCACCAGATGCGTTAATCTTCCATCCATTTGCCAATGATACATATTGTTTACTCGTGGACATCTTTATAACCTTTTTCTATCTTTAGTAATGCATTGTGATGCTCCACTATCAACAACCCACAAATCATGGTTTACAGTAGAATTGCTAGACATAGCTAAACTAACATTCTTCTTGGCCTTCTGGTGATTACTAGTATTCTGTCTTTTCCCCTTCTTACAGAATCTAGCTATATGTCCCCTAGCCCCACAAGAAAAACATTCCCTAACAGTATAGGCAGTTGAAGACAAATCCTCTTCTTGTGGTTGTTCCTTCCTCAGTTGGTCCCTATCCAGCCATCTTCTTGCTTCTTCTAGCAATCTTCCAGTTATGTCAGTCAATGTCAGTTTATCTCCAGGTAGGACTTCCAGTGAAGATACGTAATCATCATAACTTTCATCCAATGAGGAAAGAATGATGTAAACTTGATGCAGCTCTGAAAATATCAGTTCTTTTTCATGTAGCTCTTGAAAAGTTCTTTTCATGAAGTTCAAATGAGCAAACATATCTCCACTTTTCAGAAGACGTGCTCTAACAGTTTACGTGTAAGATGTATGTGTGCACCTACACTGTCACAAACATAAATCCTCTTCAAATTCTCCCAACACTTAGCAGCAGACTCTTCTCCACAAATATGGACTAGCTGCTGGTCACTTGGTGTTAGTCCAATTATACAAAGAGCTTGTTTGTTGTTCTGTTTAAAGTCAGCATGTTTCTTGGCATCATCTTCATTAGCTATATCCCAAGCATTTACATCTGGTGGGTCTTGAACTACATTCCATAAACCTTCTCTATGTAGAAGTAGACTGCACTTCATAGACCAGGAAACATAGTTTGTTCCATCCAACCGGGTTATCAGTGATAGACTTGTTGAAGTGTCTTGTGCTATCTTTACCAGGATAGTAACCCACAATTAAACAATAAACAGCTGTCTGTATACAGTACTGTGCATTCACACCAACTCTCAGTTATCTGTGCCTGGTATGGCCTGGGCCCATAACCAGTGTTGAGGTAATTCCCCGTTAGGAGAATGAGCGCATACAGGGAGACGTATTGAGAGTAGTGTTTGAATAATACACACACAGCACACAGATACACTGCACAGTAAATGTAGGTTTTTACTTTCAGAAACTTTTAAGCAAAGTTCAAACACAGTCCAAAATCATTCACAGGTAAAATCAGTCAGTTTTCAGTCCAGGGATGATCCAATAGCAAAGTCCAGTATCAAAAAACAGTTCAGTATCAGACTTACATCAAATCCAAGAATAGCAGTCAATTAGGAAAAATGGAGGAATGGCAATACTCTCCAACAGAAGGAAACAGAGACTCACTCAGACACATTCTCTTCTGAGACTAAGACTAAGACTACCCAGGTTTCTGGCTCCATCTTATGGCCGTTTGAGAAACCACACCCATTTACAATTTTAGGATTCTCTTAAAGAGACAGTATTAAAATGTCTATCCTGGTTTATATATTGTCCAACCCAAATAGCTGTTAGGTGACTTACATTCCTAACACATTTTACTGATCACGGAAGGATGGAATGCTGAGTGAATCTTGAGTACCTGTTAGGATCAAAGTCTAGGCTGTGGGGCAGAGTTTGCCTACAATACTGCATTCTAACCATTGCACCATCAGGGCTCCAAAATAATTTTTATAAAGGAATAGGGTTTTTAAAAATTTTGCTGTAATATTTCATTTGTCTGTTTTCCCTCTTCTTCTGATAACAACAAATGAACATTTAAAAAATTAAAATATAGCTGGAATCGGGTAAAGGTTCAAAACTTCATGATGAAAAGGAATGCATTTTATTTAGCTCTTTAGATAGAAAGGTTCCGAGAATGTGATCTTACATGCAGTCAATTAATGGAAAATAAATCTCTGTTAATAATTTACAATCAAATGACATTTCAACTTAATGCAAAAAGTATGACTAGCAGAATAGCAAAACAAATATTTATATTTGGGTTCTGTTGTCCCCCCCTCCCCACCTGCACTGTTTTCAAATGAAAAAAATCTTGCATGGCTCATACAACAGTAATTTCACTGCTGTATTGGGATAATTTTTACATACAGTCAAGGTTAAGATGTATCAGGTTTTCGTCTCAACATAGCAAATTTTGGTATAGTTATTAGTGTTTGTTAAAATACTTGCCAAAGAGCCCCCCAAATAGCATAAGATGGCAATTATGCCACCACATAAATCCAACAAAATCTGTAAGTACAGGAGTCCCACTGACACTATGGGAGCCCCGTTGTGAAATATATTCAGACATATTAATGATAGCTAAAGATCACTTTGTTCCTCTGATAGATCCATGACTAACTAAAACCATACAATTTCCAGCTTATGCATAGTTAAATCCTTTTCAAAATTAAAAGAAAGCTCAAATATAAGATTTCCCCCGCCTATCCTCCTTAGTACTGAACTTACTTTATTTTTCAGGTTCCATTTCTAATAGCCATAATTTAAGAAATGAAAAACAGTACCCGGGAAAGAGCTCTCTATCTTGAACCTGCTCTAAAAACCGTGGTACATTGCTGAGAAATGGGAAATGAACAGTCTTATGCTTGTGTTCTTTGATCCATATTGACTGATATGTTGTAGGAGCAGGGGTCACATGCTAAAAAAAAAGAGAGAGAGCATAAAATAAAATTATAAAGAATATTGTTTGAAGTCCATAAAAACTCCAATTAGCTTTCAGTTTAATCTGAGTGATTAATCTTGATCTTTAACTCTGTTAAACCTCATAAAAATAGAATAATTTGTGAATTAATACATTGTAAATAAACCTGGAATGGTAATTAAAATTCAATTTAATAATTTTGTAAACTTTTGTGCATTAAGAATGACTTCACACACCAGGGTTGCAACTGTGTAATCCTGTAAAATGACATAGTTGCTTTAGTTTCATGTTTCTATTTAGATAGAGATCCTATGAAGGATCTCTATCTAAATAAATTCAAAATACTGCACAACCATATTAGAGATTCCTTTCTAGTTTGATGAGTCTTATTAGAATAATTTAATGTGCGATTGAGTGTTTTGGGTATATAAAATTGTCCAATTTAGGATATGAATGTTGCAAGGGGTTTGATTGCAAGGGGGCGTGCAAAAGCGCACCAATGTGCCTACCATCCCTGTCCTATTGTTTCTTTTTTTTTTTTCTTATATGTATCCATTTCATGCATTCATAACTATGTTTATACTTATACCTGTAATCTAATAATCTCTTGACAAAATAAATAAATAGATAAAATAAATAAAAATAAGATGGGTGAGGCAATGTCACACAAATAAATAAGGCTTGATTCACCTTCTCTTTCTGGGGCTTTTGTGAAGTGAATTGAGATGGTTCTTTGTTTTTTAAAAAATGATGTTCTTCCTATCTGTTTGCGTAGACCAGGGGTCTCCAAACTTGGCAACTTTAAGACTTGTGGACTTCAATTCCCAGAATTCCCCAGACAGCATGGAATTCTGGAAGTTGAAGTCCACAAGTTCTAAAGTTGCCAAGTTTGGAGACCCCTGCTTAGACATTAACCATTTAAACCCTGAACAAAAGAAACCTTTTATCTTTTCAATTTCATATGCTCAGTAAAGATGCCCCCAAACACTGAGGCTTTAAAATTATTGTCTGGACCAGTACTGTGTTCCATCATGATGAATTTCTTTTAATGATTTTATGTCTTTACAGCACAATATTACAGAGGTTCTTTTAAACTTAGTTATGGATAAACAGGGATGTAAGCATTAATTTGCTTTGAACATCTCTGTTCTCTAGCTGATTCCACAATCTAAGTATATCAGCAAATCAAATATAGTCAGTTTCACAGTAGAAAATGTGACAACACATAAAGAATATAAGTAATATAAACATTTCTACCTTTACTATTTTCTTCTAGAGAAGCATGAAACGTGAATTGTGAAAGGTTAAACTTTCTCTCAGCCACTCTGGTTTGTAACGCTGGCTATAGCGGAAATATTTTGGCATTCTATTTAAATTTAAATTTTAGAGTAGAAAGAAGCCCTTCCTTAAGTGGGACCCACAGTAAAGAAAGTGAATTTCCTAGGTGTATGCAAGGCACATTGGGTGCAAGAGTTGTCTGCTGAAGGATTTCATGCCTGCAGAACAGAACTCCTACTACAGAGTATATATACGGAAAATGTTTTTTACCTTGTTTATTATCACAAAACGTGGTGTTGTTCTTGCTCCCATGCTGTAACCCTTGATACTCTGTGGTCTTTGAGCCAAGTTATATATAAGATTGTTCCTCTACATATTAAGACAAATGCTAAAGTTAGTCTATACTACAATAATGGAAAAAACAATGTTTAGCAACATAATAAAGCCTGCAAAACTAAGATTTCTACTGAGAAGAAGTTAATAAAAAGTAAATTTTGGGTACTCTCAGAGAAAGCGTGAGTAGTGTAAAGAAATAGAAAAACAGAATGAGACTTATTTATAATATACACGTAACTAAAAAGTCAACGTTGGAGCTGGATGGTGAATAATATAATAAAATAATTATAATGTAGCACCCTACCGAAATTTAACTTTTTCTTAGCTTGAATTTTCCTAATTCCCTCCCCCCCCACCTTATTGGAATAATTTGAGCCACTTAGAAGAACAGCTGAATAAATGGTACACTCCATTTGTTTTCCCACTCATTATTTATTAAACCAATTTAGATAGCTGCTCATCTCACAAACAAAAGATTCTGGATGGTGTACAACAGAGCTAAGAATACATACAGTGTAAGGTATAAAAAACAAACTATAACAGAGAATAGCAGACAAAGGGATGTTAAGAATGATAGTGCTACCTCACGAGCTGACTCGTCTCTTAGGTTTCCCAATCCAGCTGGCATAACCAAGTCTTGAGGGACCCCATCCCTAGGGAAGGATGATCATAAATCTGTTCAATTTCGGGACTTCTGGTTTGAGCTTCTTCGGTGACAGACCGAAACCTCGTCTCTGCGAGCCTTCGATCCATGCTCGATGCTGGAGCGCCCCGAGCCGGCTGGTTTCGGGGCTAAGCCACCCTGTAGAGGTGGTGAAGAAGGGGGAGACTGCCTGCAGGGTTGAGGAGAGCCGCATCTCTCCTCCCCAGCTGGCCATTACTCCCTTTCCCGAAGGCGGTTGTAGCGGGGGTCAGAAATGGCCACCACAAAGAAGAACTCGAGTGGAAAAGAATGTGCAGGAGGAAGATAAGAAGAGAAAGTTTTGGTTGACCGGGTCAAACAGCAAAAGCAACAAATAAGGTACCCTGGAATTGAAACTATTAAAAAAAAACCAATAACATTGTTCCCTAAGAAGATTTTTAAGCTGCGAAGGAGAGAGAAAAGGGAAAAGATTTGGTGTTTTTTTTTCTCCTTTTCCTATACTGACAGCTAAGAGACTTAAGCAAGAAATTGGAAAAAAAAATCCACTTTGACATTAATAGGCATTTAATGCTGAAAATAAAAAGTCAAAGGGATAATAAAGATTTCTGGATAATCAAAAGCTTTTGAAAACAGGAAAGGAGAGAAAAAGAATAAAAGGGCAGGATCTGGAAGGGAGGAGACTGCCTGGAATTAAAAAGAACTTACAGCAAAATCTCAACAAGACTTCCAAAAGATACATTTTAACTGAAACATCGCTACAAAAACCCCAGGAAGATAAAGTGGAAAAAGAAATAAGAAGAAACAGCTTGGGACTATTTGGATTACTTGATGCTCTCTGGATTTTTGGTTATTGTATTTGAATGACTAAAATCAATTGGATGGTTGTTTAAAACTGTTTAAAATGGCTCCACTTTTAGAAGAACTGAAAATGGAACTTAAAAAGTACAAAGAAGATGCACAAGAAGGGAGAGGTTCTTTTGGCTTTGTATTTCAGTTTTTAGAAATGGAGATTTGGAACTATGAGAAACAACAAGAAGTGCCTGCAGAACAAGAAGATCGCGACAAAGAAGAAGCCATCTTTAATGAACAAGTAATCTTAGGTGGGAGAAAAAAAGGAAAGGGGGGAAAGAGAATGGAAAGTTTAAGATTGGGAACCCCCCCCCCCAAATAGAGGGAAAAATAAGTATAAAATCAGAAAGCAACAGAAGAGGGAAACGCAGAAGAGACTTAGAACTAGAGAGACAAGGGGGTAAAAAGGGGAGGGAGAAGATGAGAGGGAAGAAAGAAAGGAAAAGAAGTTATAAAGGACAGAAACAAAATATAGAGAAACAGGACTTATTTAGAGATAATGGGTGAAAATTTAATGGAAAAAGGGATTCTGCAAAGGTACATAAGATAGTATTGTTATATTAGAAATAGAAATAATTTTAGAAAATATGAAATAATGTATGATTAAAATGTTTTATAAAATAGCTATCGTAATTCAGTGGAATGCCTGTCAATAAATAAATGTAACAAAATGAATATTTAATGATTTACAAAACATATGTGAAGAGAAATAAGGGAAAAATTAATTATGGAGATTATACATGTCCTTCAGGAAATATGATATTTAATTGTAAAGAAATGCTAAAGATGTTAAGATTTTAATTATTATTAATGATAGAACTGAATTGGAATGGAATGAGGGTTTATAATTACATATATTTATAATCTTTTTTAAAAAAGAATATAGTGTGTATTATAAGAATGTACCAAGCAGAATTCGATTGGAAGTTATGTATTATGTATTAAATTGATGGTCATAACCTTAAGGTATATATTGAAGTTTAAATAAGAGTTGAATGGATGTAATTAAAAGATATAAAGGTGTCATATTCCAATTAGTAACTACAGGAGAAAATTTGTTTAATGAGAAAAGATAATATGAAATTGAAACAGAACAGACAAAAGTAAAAATATAATGATTTGAATTGAAATGAGATAATCAAAATAAAATTGAGAAAATTAAAAGAGGGGAAAAACTATATAGAAAAATGTAGAATAGTATAAGATATGGAATAGAACAGAAAAAGGAGCATGAAATTGAGTTTTGTGTCTGTATAAAGAAGTTCAACCCGGGACCATGCTATTTTCAAAAAAGATGTTTTACTTGTATTTTGTATGTGTGAAAACCCAAATAAAACTTTATTAAAAAATAAATAAATCTGTTCAATTCCACTGCCAACCCAGAGATGGAATCGAGTAGCTCAGGCAGGGTAGTTGCTACACAGCAGGGAAATCGGTATAACAGTAACAATCCCAATTGATCGCAACCTAACAAGCAGGGTCTCACTTCCTGTGATCTGCTGGGCAGTGCCCTTGAAGTCCATAAGTGATTCTCGGATGACAACTGCCACATCAGCCCTCCTGCTCCATGTTGTTAGTTGGTGCCAAACTCAAAACCCAGCTGGCAATAGCTCTGGGAGGGGGACCTCCACTGTTGGGTGCAACCAGGTCTCAATAACACATGAGAACTTGGCTTTCTCATCTGTGATCAAAAAGGCCTTATTAAAAACTGACCTGACATTTAAGAACAGCAACAGAAGTCAGGGCCTCTGGCAGTCTGCTGCTGAGGATAGATGCTAAAATCAAAAGCTAGAATATTAAATATTTGTCCTGTGTTCTCCAGGCGTGATCTGCTTGTCTCCCACCATATCTTCCCATGCCCATCACCATCATAATATTGTAGCCCACCCATGTCCCCTCAATGGCCACCCTGTCTTTCCTGCCAGATACCCAAATTCCAAAGGCCCAGGACCTCCAATAATAACCAATTACATCCATTCCAGGGAGGGGGAAAAAAGACCCCCAAGATGCTTCAGCTCTACTGCTTTTCAGCACCCTCAGGTGCCACCTCCTCCCATCAACTCTTTTCTCAGGCTCTCATCCTGAGGGAGGAAGCACACAAACAAAATACTTAGCTGACAGACAAAATTGGGAGGAAAATAATCTTCTCCCTCTCTGGCGTAATCAGAGAAAAAGCCTCTGTTTGGGGGCAGGGGGGGGGGGATCAACATCAGGTTACACTCTTCTGCTATCAATCCTCCCCCCCAAAGCCAACACCAATAATCCAAGCCCCAAAGTCCTGGTTAGCCTCTACAAATACAGTTATCTGGTCTGTGTGATGAAAGATACTGGCAGCAAAGAGATGAGAATAAAATACAAGGGGCAACCAGCACCAGGTCCACAAAAGTAGCCAACCAGTCAACAAGTCTAGTGCAGGCCCAGTTCATCCTCAACCATCTTCCGATTTCTAGAATTTGTTAACAATAGCAGAGGGTCAGAAGTACAACAAACACAGTCACCCAGGGTTCCTGTACCATTTCCCCAGAGTTCTTCCGTACTTTTTAAAAGAACAAAACTTTTTTTCGTTTAGGAGACAGATGAGTTGAGGAATCCAATTGAATCCATTCATCAAAGATGTTTCTTCTTTCCATGACAAAAGAAAAACAAAAGATTTTTTCCTCTTGATATGGACTGAAACTCAGACAGTGACCATAAATTGGGTGTCTCTCAGTGAATATTAGCTGGGTTTGTAGCCTGCACATTCACTACAAATAATGTTAGGGTTCATTAGTCTAAATAACAAAACTTGTACTCATGGATTTTTGCTGGAAGCAATCATGTGAGGTAGGAAAGATAATATCAAGCCACAGAGTCATCTTCTGAAAATAATAGATGACTAAAGGGTTCAACTGTGGTCTCTCAAATCTTTGCAAATATTCTCTAATTATCTATTTTCTAAGACCAGAGACATTGCTTTTATTTACAATATATTTGAATTTTGGAAGCAAAAGTAATCAATATAATCTGAATAGTAAATATTCTTTCTTTACTTCTAATTAAAGATCTCTTTGGAGAGAAAATAAAGAAAAATGAAAAGGAGCACTACTTACCTCTGCATGATTATATGTTCCTGGTCCACGATCAGGATCACCTATAATTGGTGCAAACTCATTACCTAATCGGTCTGGTGCATGATGAAAGGGGAAAATTTTCTTTTCCTGAGTGGTTCCAAATGGACGTTCCTTCTGAACATCTGAAAACCCCAAAAAGAGTTTATGTCAGTCAAATGTTTGCATCAATGTTTTATAATGTGCGACAAAACTAAGTGTATAAAATAGCAGAGTGACACCTCTTATGTACTGGACTAACTTTTCAGTGAAACACAGAATACAGCCAGCCAGTCAGGTTCATTCACCTAATTACCATTAATTACATTATTTCCTATGTAAATACTTAGGTATTTACATAAAAAACTTAATTAGAAAGGAAAAATAGGTATGGTCCTCATTTATTGACTGCTTCTCTCAGCAGCTATTCAGAGTTACAATGGCACTGTAAAAATAGATTAATGACTTGCAGCCATTGGAACATCCCCATAGTGAGGACATAATATTCATGGTCATGTGATCATGATTTGGGTACTTTGTGACAAAACATTTACAATGGTCACAATGTCCTTGGTCATGTGATTTCCATTTATGACCTTCATAGCAGGCTTCTAGCAAACAAAATCAATAGAGAAGCTGGCAGGAAATCACAAGACATGGTCATGTGATGTTGTGTTTAACAACCCACAGTGATTTTTCTTAATGAACATAGCCGGAACTGATGTCATAAGTGCATCACAGTCATGGGAGATTTCATTTAATGATAGTGTCATTTAGCCAGGGGTCAGCTACTGCAGGTTCGCAGGGGTTCGGGAAAGCCCCTAGCTAAGATTCTGTACAGTTCAGAGAACCCCCAAATCCCACTCCTAGCTGGCCCTGCCCACTGCACCCCGCCCCTCCAAGGAGTCCCCACATAGCCTGTCTTGGATGCAGGTAAGTGCAGGGCACACCAGAAGCGTGGGGAGTGCAAAAAACGGGCCACCTGAAAGTTTGGTAAGGCTAAAACTGGGCCTGTTTCCCACTTTCAGAGAGTCTCCCTGTGTGTTTATATTCCTGGATATGCACATGCTTTGCTAATGGGCTTTTAGAATACGTACCCTAGTATCGGAGCTTTCCTCTGCCTGGGAAAGGTAAGAATGGTTAAATATTGTGCTACAAGATTAGCCAGGATGAGATAATACTCAAAACAAGCCAATTTACAATAATGGAGACAATAAAAGACATTGAACCCACTGTCCCCTCTCCACAGTGAAATTTGGTGATCATTATATTGTCCCAAAAATTTATTAGAAATTTTACTGTACAAGTAAAATTTAAACAATGACAAAATAGATACATTAAAGAAAATTTAAAAAGTGCAGAAAAAGAAAAAAAGGAAACTTCTCCTCTCATCTCCAGCAGGTATAATCAACATTAAGAACTTATCATTATCTCTTAAAAGCAAACATCTCTTTGTTTCAATTCTAGTTTCTACAAACACATCTCTAAGATCTTATCCCTCCCTACAAGCATCAAAATCCAGTAGGAGTTATCAGAAATGACAATGTACACTATGCGCACAATTATTAGGCAAGCTTTATCTTGAAGGATTAATTTTATTATTGAACAACTACAGTGCTCTTGGTCAATCCAAAATGTTAATAAACCTCAAACCTGAATATTTAAGAAAGTAAAAATGAGGCTATGGCTTTCTTAGAATATCTATGTGTGCAGAATTATTATGCAACTAAATGAAAAATGAAAAATTTCCCATCTCACTCATTTATTTTCATCTATTAAAGTGAGAGTAATAAATAAACAACTCAAAATTTGCAAATAAACATTTCTGACAGTTCCAAAAAAAATATCCATGACCAATATAGCTACCCTTCTTTTCAATAACAGTCACATGCCTTCCATTCATGGAGTCTGTTAGTTTCTTGATCTGTTGACGACCAACTTTTTGTGCAGCAGCAAAACACTGTTCCCAGACACTGTTCAGAGAGGCGTACTGTTTTCCTTCACCATACATTTCCCGTTTAAGAAGGGCCCACAAGTTTTCAACAGGGTTTAGGTCATGTAAGGAAAGGGGGGCAAGTCATTATTCTTTCATCTTTAAGACCTTTACTAGCTAGCCACACAGTGGAATAGTTTGATGCATGTGATGGAGCATTGTCCTGCATAAAAATCATGGTCTTCTTGAAAGATGCAGACTTTTTCTTGTACACTGCTTGAAGAAAGTGTCTTCTAAAACCTGGCACAAGGTTTGGGAGTTGATTCTGAGTTCATCTTCAACCTGAAAAAGTCCAATTAGTTCATCTTTCATATTACCAGCCCATACCAGTACCCTTCTTCCACCTTTCTGGCATCTGAGTTGAACTGGAGCTCTGTGCCAGTTACTGATCCAGCCACGGGCCCATCCATCTGGTCCGTCAAGAGTTAGTCTCATCTCATCAGTCCATAAAACCTTTGAAAACTCTGTCTTCAGATATTTCTTGGGCTGGTTCCCATTTCAACTTATGTGTCTTGTTCAGTGGTGGTCGGATTTCAGCCTTCCTTGGCCATGTCTCTTAGTACCACTTGTGGGCCCTTCTTAGCACTTCTGAGCACTCCAGGTAGGCTGCAGTTCTGAAATATGACATCACTTGAGTATAATGAGTTCCTGGTAGCTTCACATTTAATTCTTCTCAAATCTTTGGCAGTCAAGGTGAGTCTTCTTTTCTCAACATATTTCTTGTGACCCTATTGATTATTTGCCACAAAATATTTGATGATTCTGTGATCACGCCCCAATATCTTAGCAATTTCAAGAGTCTTGCATCCCTCTGAAATATTTTTTACAATTTTTGACTTTTCAGAGTTAGCTAAATCTTTTTTTTGGCCCATTTTGCCCGAGGAAAAGAAACAGCCTAATAATTATGCACACCTTGATATAGGATGTTGATCTACTTAGGCCACACCTTCTCCCGTTACACAAATACATATCTCCTGATCTGCTTATATCCACTAAGCATTTAGGTTTATACAGCTTGGAGGTGGAAAATATGCCTACAAAGGATGATATGGTCAAAACATACTCAGTTGCCTAATAATTGTCCATACGTTGTGTTACAAATTTTATCTCTTACACCCAATCTGAATCCACCCTTTTCCTTCAAGCTGATTTGGTTATTATTTTGAGGGGGAGGGGAGTGTGTAAATGGTAACCTTTAAAGGTCTGAAAAGACTGATAAAAAAAACTTTTAATAAAATATTACAAAAAAATTCTAATAGTACAAGTATCAGTCTTAGAAGTTCTTCAACAACTGGGAGATAGCAAACTCTTCTTTTTGAAAAATACACAGCAGAGGTTGGGCAATCATTTGTCAGGAACATTGCAGTTGGAATTTGGAATGCTGTACAGTAAATGGGGTTTGGACTAGATAACTTCCAACATACATTCCAAGGCCAACTTACTATGATGTTTCTGTGCATTGACTTAAACCTTCTAACTAACAAGATAGACTTAGACTGTCTACTATTGACCTCACCCCTTTCCTAAGAGGTCTGTAGGGGGTGTGCATAAGCGCACCAACGTGCCTACTGTCCCTGTCCTATTGTTTCATATATATATATATATATATCTTATATGTATCCATGTATTCATAACTATGTTTTTACTTATACCTATTTTCTTGTAAGCAATTGGCAAATAAAAATAAATAAATAAATAAATAAATAAAATACATAAAATAAATAGTTGCCTCTGATGGTAATTTATTGATGAGAGAGAGGGGGCACTTCATGGAAGTTTAGAGTACTGTACTAATTTATTCACTGGTTTCAGGATTAACTCCTAATTAGTTCTGTGATTACATCCTGGAAAACTTAAAGTAGTTTTTTTTTGCCATATATCTATTCTGAAATAAACAATGCTATTTAACAATGAAATAACAATGCCTTTAACATATTGTTAAAGATCCCATAATGTGACATTGGAATTTGAAACGCCACTGCTAATACATATTTGGCAGGCATACATCCATCTAATTTTGCTGGTATGTAAATGTTTGAACAGAGGAATTATATTCTTTTAGTATTGTGACAGTCCCTTTAGTTTTTTAAAAAGATATCTATATATGCTTATGTAAATTTATTCTGAAACCCGAGGCAAATAATTTCAGAAGTGCCTTTCTCTTCCTTATAAATTAGCAATAAAAACACAATAAATTAAGTGTCTATGGAGATTCTCAGTCATCCAGATCAAGGTTGTCCCAAAGGTGCCTTATTTTCTAGAGGCAACTGGACATTCTGGTTTTTCTTTGAAGATGTTTTGCTTCTCATCCAAGAAGCTTCTTCTGCTACTACTTGCTACTACTGCAGTACATATCAAGGAAGACAGAAAAGCCTTAACATTGATGTTTACAGAAAACCCACCCACACTGATCAATATTTACATTTTGATTCCCACCACACACTGGAGCCCCAAATAGGAGTCATCAGAAACTTACATCACCGAGCTGAAGACCTGCCTACTAGCAAAGATGGGAAAGGAAAAGAATGTAAACACATCAAGAAAGCCCTCAGAACATGTAGCTATCCCAAGTGGGCCTTCATCAAATCTCAAAAAAGATCCTACAGGAGCTCCTCTGTAACAGGCAATGATGAGAACAATAAACGAAGCAACGTCATTCCATATGTTGCAGGCATCTTGAAAAAGCTCAGGCTTCAGCCAACATAACATACGTGTTCAAACCCAAGAATAAACTAAGGCAGAAGCTCGTCCACTCTAAAGATAAAACACCCAGGCAGAAACTGAGCAACACGGTATATGCAATACATGCATTGAGCCATATGCAGATCTGTACACTGGGGAAACAAAACAACCACTTCATAAACGCATGGCACAACATAGGAGAACACACACATCAGGACTAGATTCAGCAGTCCATCAGCATTTAAAAGACACAAGCCACTCTTTTGAAGACAACAGAGTCCATATTTGGACAGAGAGGACCACTGGTTTGAAAGAAGAGTTAAAGGGGCCATCTGTTTCAAAATTGAACAACCCCCTGTCAACAGAGAGGGAAGAATATGACATCATCTATCTCCAATCTACAACATAGTCCTTTCAAGGTTCCAAGAAGACTCCACACCCATTTGCACCATTCAGGTGACCCTGATGACACAGATAACAGATGACCTTAACAACCCCAGCTAAAAGGATGCAAATGTCCAGCTGTCTGTAAGGAGTATAAATCCTTCCATTCCCCACCGCCCAGTCAGAGCTGAAGAAGCTTCTTGGATGAGAAGCGAAACATCTTCCAAACCAAAAACCAAAAACTAGACAGTCCAGTTGCCTCTAGAAAAAAAAAGCACCTGTGGGCCAGTAAGTGAAATTAAGAGCTCCCTCCTAAAATCCCAAATCGCTTGACTGAAGCGACTGCCTCATCGCCCTGCGATTAGAGCCCTGAAATTTAAATTGGCCTTACTTACCGTTCAGTTCCTGTTCCGAATCCAGGCAATTTTGGAAATCCAATCGCACCCGAGCGTTATAACGGCCCAGTATCGGGCTCTCCAGCAGAGGCATAGCAATCCCGAAAAACAAAGTTTGTAGGGTCGCAAATAAATAAATAAAATAAAATAAAATAAAATCACCGGATTTCCCTCGCTTCCACCTTAGCACCTCTCCTCTCCGAGGGCGACCCGCGTCCCTCTCCAGCCGAGCCCGAGCGCTCCACAATGCCGGGGCAACGACGCTTGTCTGACGCGCCTTCGAGCCAATCCCCGGCCGGACTCACCTGAGAGCTCCCACGCGAGGCGGCGCTGGCTGGAGATGAGCGCCAGGGTTCCGAGCTGTTTGGAGTCCCTCTCTTGCCATGGAAACAGAATTGGGCTGGTCCCCACGTTGGAATACTGAGGAAATATGCTGCTTTGGGTCGCCAGGGTTTGAACCGTATCTGCAAAGGCGGGGAGAGAGAAATGGTGGGGAGGCCCGCGGCGTTGCGTCCGGCGGCCGGGGCGAGAGTTCAACCAGGCTACGACACCTGGCCGACTTCCAGACGGCAGCAACGCCATCGTCGTGGTTCTTTATTGCCAGCTTTATAGTCGTCCGGATTTTTGTAGCGCGGTTACGGCTAACGCTACTTTTGCCTGACAGTAGCAACGTAGTAGGGCGGTGGAGTATAGCCTCGCCACTATCATTTTCTCGCCAGAGTCAATTTTGCCCCGTGCCTTCGGCGGTGGGGCTCAGCTCCGTTAGTACTGCAAAGAAGTGGAACTGCGAAGAAGTTTAGGCTTCTCTCTCGCCCTATGGCAGCTAACTTTTGAGGGAGATGGAGGAATATTCTCCATCTTTCTTGGGCGAGGAAAAAGAATCGCTTTAGCCTTTGGAAATAAAAGGCTGGCTGAGCGAACGGAATTATTTTATTATTGCATCCTTATTACGAAGACCCTAAAACAGCCTGTTTTTATACAATGGGCAGTGAGTGTTGAAAACGGCTATTCAGCTGGTTCGGAAATCCGTAACCGAAAGAAAGTGAGCAAATAGCGTTTCTTGTTCCTGAACAAGCTTATTTGATAAATTGGAATTCCCAATCAGAGACCTGTTTATCCACAAAGCACACCATCTTCAGTTATACAGTACTTAAATAAAAAGGTAACATGGTAATTAATTAATTCAATCAAATTATAATGTCTGTCTCAATCACAAAGGCAGCAGTTTACATTTTGGATTAAAAACAATAGAATGATAACAAAAAATGAACAATATTGGATAGCAGTTCAGAAAAACAAAAAAATTCAGTTGCAGTCATAAGACAGATATCCAATATTGATTATAACCCAATCCAATCCAGAGTTTGTTGCAAGAGGCAGGGATTTAAAGATTTGAGAAATGCCATGTGAACTTAAGGGAGAAGATCTTCCATGGTACAGGTACAACCACAACAAAGGCCTGATTCCTAGGTCCTGCAAGATGTCACCGGTTGGGCAGAAACAATGGGAGAAAGCAGTTCTTATGTCATGAATTTTTGTACAGGTGACAGCTAGAATCTTGAACTAAAACTCACTGATAGCCAGGGTACAAAGTAGAGGTTTTATGTAGGCAAAATAAGAAGTGATGATAGCTATTCATATTAGCTGTAGCTTCTGAATTGTTTTCAAGGTTAGCCCTGGATAGATTATGTTACAGTGTTCAAATAAGAAATGATTTAAGTTATGAGTGCTTGTGAGAAGCTCCCCTCCTTTCACGAAAGGTCATATTTAGTACACACTATGGATCAGTGCAAAACTCCTCCTGGCCATGGCTGCCATCAGGTCATAGAATTGAGTCTAAGAGGACTCTCAAATTGCACATCAATTCCAACTGGAGGCATAGATCACCCTTGAAAACTAACAATTGTCCTTGAAAATAGAAGGTCTTTGAATCCAAAGCCACTTGGATTTGTGTAAGCCCATCAAGTTCTCTTATATCTCCTGGTTCTCTTATATCTCCTGGTTCTGGGAGAAGATTACCAGAGAGAATCACCAATACAAACAGATGTGAAACGCAAAGCTGAATACTATCCAATTCTGAGGCTATATCCACATTGATTGATGACTTCATTCAGTGACTCATATAGATGTTAAATAAAAGTGGGAGAATCTTGAGTTCTGTGGGACCCTTTAGAAGAAGGACCTCAAGTTTGATCCTTCCTCCCAAAACTTACCCCGTCTTTGTTAGTATATGACTATGCATGTGTTATATCTAACTACGTAAGCTAAATTAATATTTATCTGGCAGATGTTGAAATGTTTATTTCCTAAATATTTCCTTCATTAAAGAAGAAAGTCAACTCCATTGAGTGTCAACTCCATTGGATTGTTGAACACCAACGTTCTCTATTTTTCCCTTCCCCTTTCTTCTCTGATTTTTCTAACTTTGGATTTAGGGTAAACTTGGTGGATTAGTGGCTTTTTGGTGGGCTACTGGTGATAGAAATGAAACAAGATAAAGAGCAGTTTCTTAAGAAAAAGAAAAAAGAAAGTATAACTACAACAGTTGAAATTGATTTTTCTTGCCCAAATTGATTTTGATCAGTTACTTTGTTGTTCCTTATTTTTTCTGTACATGTGTTTTACAGATCCATTGTTGTCTACCTACAGATAGTCGTCGACTTACAACAATTTGTTTAGTGACTATTCAGTTACAACACTGAAAAAAATAACTTTTTTCATGCTCAGAATTGTTGCATTATTTCCCATGGTCATGTGATCAAAATTCAGATGCTTGGCAACTGTGATGACCCGTAGTCTCTCAAAATAACCCAAAACCCAAAACATACATTAAAGTCCAGTAATGCCTTCAACTTAACTTCACTGTTTTATTAGGCACAGTTTAAAGTCACAAAAGTAAATAATGAGGCAAAAGAAAACCAAAACAAACCGCATTGACGAGAGTTCTGAAGCAAGCCAAGATAATTAATCATACATTCCAGGAAGATAACCGAGGAGAGTCCATGGGAAGAATGCCAGCAAAGATAAACCTCTTTCAAAGAAAACAATAAATTTTGACTCCAGCAATTCTGACTACGCAGTTACAAACTTATATACATAGCTCCCAGCTGCAAGCCACAAGGAGGATCATGGTAATCTCCTCCTGAGTAGACTTTGCTTTTCCCTGATCCTCTCCTCCCTGCATGACCTAGGATGGATAGCGGATGGGCCTGGATCCTCCTCTGATTGCTCAGCTGGCCTCTGCCCTTCCGCAGCCTCCTCCACCACCTCTGGAGCCACACTCCCACACCCTGTTGGCTGCTCCTCCTCTTCCTCAGAGTCAGTCTCCACCAGGCATGACAGCAACTGACTCATATTTATGACAGTTGCAGTGTCCCATGTGATCATCTTTTGGGACCTGACAAGGTGCCCATTGATTGGAATGGGGAAGCCAGATTCATTTAACAATTGTGTTAAGCTAACTTAACAACTGCAGTGTTAAGCTAACTTAACAACTGTGACTCACTTAGCAACATAAATTTTGGGCTCAGTTATGGTTGTAAGTTGAGAACTACCTGTACTTAATCTTTGTGTTATCTATATCAGTGGAAAAAATAATGTATTGGATCTGATTGTGAGGTTTGAGATACTAAGAGAAATGAAACCACTGGGATAAATAAAAATTTTAAACAAATCTCACTATTCAATGTCATACATCTTTTATGAGAAATATTCAAGAGAATTACCTGAATATTCAAGAGCAGTAATTCTAGATAAAATAATAAAAGATTTCATAATAGAAATAGTTACAAGCTTACCTGAAAGAAGTTCTGGCATGATACAAATTCTGGTTTTGGTGATCTAAAAACTAAATGATAGAAAATTTAATGAGAATAGATCACAGTAGTGTTTCTCTGACCACTTATTTCTCAAATCATTAGTGGTTTTAGAACAACATAATCTTCAAGGTTGACATCATATAGATTATATAACTATAAGCCTGGATCATTTTGACTGAGAGAGTGGAAATGAGATATAAGAGGCGTTTAATATTTGGCTTCCTTATCATCATAGCAGTTAATCCCTGGAGGGAGAAATGTGCCTGAGAATTTGTAAAACTAGAATAAATTGGAGAGTGGAGTTACTCACAACCTCACCATGCCTTTCCTAACAGAGTAAGGACACCAACAGGTAAATTGATTGAGGAAGACCTTTTCCCCCTTCTAAATAAAAATTGTGACAGATAAGCTCAGTTTGAGTTAGAATTAGAGGCCACATGATGGGTGAAATCTAGGTTAATCAAACAGTTCAGCCATACTCTATTAATGTGCTAAAAGGCTTATTATCGGTACATGAAATGGCTTGTTTAGCTGCCTCTTATATTAACTGACTAGTATGTCACAGGCACAGAGGCAAAATGGTGCCTCTTCCAGATATTGGAAAAATAAAAGCATAGCCAATGGTGCCTCTCCCAGATAATGGAAAAATAAAAGCAGGACCATATGATCAAATTGTTTATTGGCAGAAACAATTACAAACCTGTAATACCCAGTAGTAACAGAATCAGCAACAGACAACTGACAGAACCTGGTTCCTTTTTTCCAGTTTAAATCAGTTAAGGCATGCTGGCTGAGGAATTCTGGGAGTTGAAGTCCACACAGCTTAAAATTGCCAAGCTTGAGAAACACTGTTCTTGATTGCTTTTTGAATAGAGGCCTGGCTTGCTTTCAAAAATGCACTAAACTAACATTTATTAACAGCCTGCTACGCACTTTTAAAAGTGTTGATCATTCGTTATGAGACAGATGTCACTGCAGTCCAACTTTCCCTTGCACTTGAAGCCAAAATAATTTTGGAAGGAACTTCCTAGTTAGCAGGAGTGGGCCTGGAGCAAGAACTGAGAAATAAGTCCCCTAGCCTGCCACCATCCTCCTCATTTCCCAAAAGTAAAGTGTGACTCAAAGTTTTTGCAGGAAGAATTTGGTAAAATTAGCTGATTTAGATAGAAAGTGTTCTTTATAAGTGCCTGCGTGGTGACCATATAGATCTTTATAGGCCAAACTGTATTCAGAAACCTATTAGTGACCAATGTAGGGTCAAAAACATAAGTACAGTACTAGCAATAATACCTGCCAGTAATTGAACTGCTGCAATTTATCTCAGTTGCAGTTTTTCAATGATCTTCAAAGATAGCTCCATATAAAGTATCTTGCAACAGTCCAGTGGAGAAGTGATAAGAGCAAGGGTCACTGTTGAGATAGGAATCCTATCTCTTAGCAAAATAGCACTGCCTTCCAGGATTCAGGGTTTGAGGCAGGTCATTTCCAAACCTAGTTGTAGTTTCTGGGTCTGTGATTTGTTTCATAGAAACTGTGGCCATAAAAAATGCCATATTCTTTTATGTGCAAAACATTTCCTTGGTTTAGCATTCATATGTAGAGATATATTTTCTATACACAGTAAGTAATAAAGGAGGGAGCTTGGTGCTACATAGGCCATTTTGAATCCCAGCATCTACATTCCCACTGGTACTACCCCAAATTTCCTTCTTCAATGGAAGACAGAGGGTGAATTTTCATGTTCTACCATAGGGTCATCATGATGGCCTCACATGACGTATTGGAACTTTCTTCCCCTTGGCTAAACCGGGTGGAGGCGGGGCCATCATGTGATGCATCCGGCCCAAGGACCATACACACCCCTGTTCTGCCAGATGTGCTTAAAAATCTTTCCACACCTGGGAATTTTGCATGGATAATTTTATTCCACTTTCAGATCCTCCTTCTCACAAAGTTAGTTTGCATTTGTTGTTTTTAAACAGCCGATGGAAAAATGGGTTAGCACATTTTTTTCGGGTCTTCCTGATACTTGTGTTTTATATATGCATTTTCATACCAAATTAATTTTAGCAGACAGAGCTTATATAGAACTATAAATATGGGTTTCATGAGAACATGTAAATCTGAGTTGAATTATGCTGATGATCAGTCATTAGGGACCATTTTGTCATCATTTGAAATAAGCTACACTGTATGTGAATTCTCTGGGACTGAGTGCACTGTATTATGTAAAAAACTTAGTATAGTTACCCATTGTGTGTTTAGTCAGGTCACCAAATTTTATGTGCAGTTTATACTTTAATTTCAAATTAA